TGACGTCTTCTTTTGCGCGTGTGGGCTGCTTTGAGGGTTCACACTAGAGCGCGTTTGCTGTCACATTTTATTTGTAGTGTGAACAAGCAGACAAAAATATCGGATTTGATTAAAAAAAATCGGAATTGAGCATTAAGACCTGCAGTGTGAACGTAGCCTTAGGGTCTTTTGGGATGTCACTCAAGTTTATATGACCATCGAGTGAATACTTTTGGCAATTTAGTGTATATGAGCTAGCTGAAGATAAGCATACAATTAGGAAGAAATATGAATATCTGAAAGTGGAAAATTAGACTTTATAGCATGGTACTGTACAAAATACAAAAAAACCCAAAAACGAGTGCTATAAAAAGAAAAACTAATAAATGGATAACAAATGTAGCATTGGTATTTACACCAGAATACATAAAATACTGCCCAATATGTAGCAATGTTAAATTAGAAAAATGCACAAAAATAAAGACTCAGAAAGTTCTGTTTCCATAAGAAGCGATTTGAGAGATGGAATGCATAATGACCACAGTAAATCTGTAATGAAGACACACTACTGATCAATTTCCCTAATCATGTTCTGACAAATACAAAAATGCATGTGCATCATACACCTCATACACCTGTGAAAGCTTGAAATGACTTGTGTGCAAACACCTTTGGCTGATTTAATTGGCTACTAGAAGAAAAAAAAACCTGTAATTGTTGAAGGTCACAAGCTGTTAACTAACTGTTTCACATCCCACATGATACAGGCAGATGGTACGTCTACAAATCAGTTGCGCCCTGAAACATACGGAGAATAGCTGAAGCACAATCTTTTTGGGTGCTTTTATTTCCCCTTTCTCAAGACGTCACATGAAGATGGCAGTCCAAAGATCACTTGCAATACACTAAAAGAGACAGTCATTAAAAATCTGTTTATATAACTGTCACATAGAGGACGATATCAACATATCCTTGCATGAGAAGCTGGGAGCACTCGCGATATAACTGTCCTACTTATAATAAATAAGGGCATGTTTCACCTAAATGTTGCCATTATACACGTGACACTGGGTGCAACTGATCAAAGTCAGGCTCCATAATATAGTGGCTAAGATTAGGTCTAAGAATAGTTTAGCAGTCTGTAGCACAGTCGCACACTGTTTTATAGTGCGGTCACACCTGTAGTCTGGGCTTCATCGGAAAAACTGTGCTCTATCACACAGGTCTTGTTGTTTGCTTGAATTAAAAATAGAAATTTCTGTCCGCATTAAACACAGGAATGTTCTGAGAAAAAAGGTTTGGAATTTCATGAACCACATACTGGAAGGAGCAGTTTTGGTCTTGTTTTGCAGGATGAATATTTCACTGGGTGACTAAAGAACAGAATAAATCTGTATTTAAAAATAAAGAAAGAAGGCAAAGATGAAAAGAGGGCAGCTTCTATTACAGGAGAATTACACCGTAAAATCCACAAGGAATTAATGACAACAAAAGATACGAGCTGAAGTTTTTACCATGGCTCTGAAAAGTTAGGAAAACTCACTCGAGGCGTGCAATCACTATGAATGACTGAAGAACCCCCAAAACAAGAAGTGAAACAGTCTTATTCGTCCCACAGAATTGCTAAACTTTTGCTTTACGGCCATTTCCTTTTTTTGTGGTTTTGTTTTGTTTGTGACCTGTAAAATCTAAACGCAATCCTGTTTAAAATAATTACACAAATGCTGCTCAATAAAGATGTCAGACTGATACAGCCTAGCCATTATTTTAACCAATTACGAGTTCCCAAATCTCAGGGCTCAAATGGTTGGATTCATCCTAACCAAACTGCATTTTAATTGCAAACCAAAGCAAAGACTTTTAACCTTTCATCAAGATAACAGAATTTTCCTGTAGGCATTTAAAAAACAAAAAAGAAATAATATTGTAATAGTTTAAGGGTTTCCAGCTAAAGAATGTTTGATTTAATCACTATACACACTTTACATTCACAGATAATAGATGTAGATGAGAATGACACTGGGATGGCAGCTGTATTACTATGTGTCTGAAAATTTACAGAAAGAAAAGACACCCCCCCCCCCCCACACACACACACACACACACATTTCCGTACTTCTTTTGATGCTCCATGTCCATTTGAAATAAACAAAACAAAACCTGCCTCAGATATTAATGTAAAACGTACCGAGGGGAGGAGGAGGAAGCTTCTTGCTAGCCTTAACGGAGAGCGTACTGTACTGTTAGCTAGCTGTACTATAAAACCAATTACTGCTTTTAGTTTCATTCTGGACGCTCAGTAAAAGCACACAAACGGCTAAGGTAAGGCTGCAGGTACAATTGTGTCATCACATACTGAGGTGACAGCTCCAAATTAGCTGCATTTTCAATCCTATAAACGATTAACGTCAGCTAACCAGCTGAGGCAAAATAAGCTAGCACGAAACAAGCGGCCACGGGTCACAGGGTATTTAACATTACCGCCGGAGTAAATCTGATATACCCTTTTCCATTCACACTTGCCAAGTTAGCACTGTTAGCCTTAGCTAGCCGCATCTGTCAGTGCAATTCAGGAGCAACCGGAACCTTAACTAGCCGCACAAAACCTACTAGCTAAACACATAACCTCCACAACAAGCGTGCAGATACGGACAAACGCTAAAACATTTGAGCAAGCTCTTGGCTAACGTTGCTTCATTAGCCAGCATGGACGTTGTCAACCACAAATTAATTTGGTCCAAAGGCTGTCTTGGAGTTTGTTTATAACAAGATGTTTCCGCTTATTTATTTATTTTTTAGAAAAGCGTGTCATATCCACAAAGCTAGAAACACGCCAGAGTATTACCTTTACTCCACAACAAGGAAGACGATATATAAATAGCTGTCAGAAGAAAATTAAATGAATATCCCTACCTGAGTCTGAGATGTCTTGAGACGGGAGACAGCGTTCATATTAAGTACCCTCGAGCATGCGCACTGCCTCCAATCCCGGACGCAGCGTTTTTGAGCGTGCAGCTGCTGAAGCTGCAGACAGGGGCTCAGATGGAGTGGTTAAATATAAACTGTTCTCAGTTACTTATCTGTACACTCACTAGGTTGTTAGATTATTTTTGTGAAAAAAAAACCCAACGTTAATACAAAGATAAATCTAGAATACAAACTATATAATATTAGTAGCAGACATACCAAATTTGGGGTTTATGACATGGGCATGCCAGTATCAAACATTTATGTTACACAAAAAGCTATGAAATTCCATAAACTCTGCTGAGTGCAACAAAGAGTAACTCAAATATTTATCCATGGCTTAGTTTCTGAAGAAAAGTACTGTTGCGTGGTAGATCCCATTATCTGCTATGTCCTGTTTACTTCCAGACCTTCTGTGTCAAATATGTGATGGCACTGGAACAGGACAGGAAGTACCCTGGCAAGCACAACAAGCCCTGCCTTTGTCCAGGACTCAAAGCAACCATCAAAATACAACCGCCCAACACATGACAGTTATTACTGATGATTAAATTGTGGGGCCATCACAGAGCGACTCTGGGTAAAATGTTATTTGGCTCTGTCTCTCTTCCTCTCACGCACTGCCTATGTCTTTTTATACCGTCATTTTGTACTTCAGTAATAAAGAAAAAGGGGCAAATACTACTACTAGTAATAAACAAACATATCAGCATTTGTGTTTTTCCCTATATAATATAAGTAAAAAGCCACCACAAAACTGATTACGTTGCACAGCACACAGAAATGACAAAAGAAGAGAGCAGCTATGTCACAGTGAGGCAGATCTAATCTGTCATCCATGTACATGGTTCTCTGGATAACTCATAACTCATCAAGTCTTTTCTATTTCACACTTTGCACCACCCAAGACGCCATTTACCTCCCACTCCAGCCAGAATGGATGTATTATCATGCACACAAATATCAGCACACTCTCTTACATGAAGCATATGTGCAGGCATGTGTTGGGGCTAGGGCACCGTTAAAGCATAGATAGGAACAATGCAACTTAATACATTTGCTCCAGTACTTTAATTACTTTAGTAAATCCGTATTAGAACACAGGGATGCACATGAACCTCACAAAAATGAAAACAACAGTTTAATAATAATAATGGATTGCATTTATATAGCGCTTTTCGGGTACTCAAAGCACTTTACAATTCCACTATTCATTCACTCTCACACACTGGTGGAGGCAAGCTAAAGTTGTAGCCACAGCTGCCCTGGGGCGAGAAGCGAGGCTGCCATATTGCGCCATCGACCCCTCTGGCCATCACCAGTAGGCGGTAGGTGTCTTGCCCAAGGACACAACAACCGAGACTGTCCGAGCCGGGGCTCGAACCGGCAACCTTCCGGTTACAAGACAAACCGCCAACTCTTGAGCCACGATCGACCCGTTTACACAGTCTACACTGGGTTCATTTCTGATTTCTGATTTAATTCCCACATCTCTTGTACTTGATCACCGCTATGCAACCCCATTTAAATACCCCTGTTTTTGATTCAGTATATGTGTCCTCTCATGTCAACAGTTTATTGCAGTCATCCACTGTCACCACACTATACTAACCGAGCCAATTTTAATAGACAGACAAATACCCCAACTGGGGGTGGATGCTCTCACCATCCAAGCCTTTTGGCCAGTACCTTGTCTCACAAACACCCGGTCTTCTTTGCACCTTCCCCCCAATCCCTTTAATAATAACCCTGCTTCACATGGTGAGACCGTCAAATCACAGGGTCCACTTACTGGTGTCCAAATGACCATTAGGGACCTGATTTTCAAAGCTCCTCCATGTACCACACAAAGACCTGTAGCATCACATGAGGAGAACTGACCTCCCCATCTAGCTCGATGGGAAGATAAGGCAATTGAAGGGATTAAATCATCCCTGACTGATTTAGGGCTTCAGTTTGTGGATACCACTCTGAATGTAAGGGGTTCTTTAGCAAGGATGGTGGGTCAATACTTTTGAACTACATTCTCGTCATAGGGCACAAATAGCCAAGAAGATCCATTCTCTTGCAAAACATACTATGGTACTTACCTTTTAGAGGTCAGCCAAGCCACCTAAGCTATATCAGTATACCATGACCATCCTAATGCTGGCCACTCTGCGTGTATTTCTGGTCGTCTGTTTCTCTCTGTCAGGAGGCAATGGACCCTCTGAGCGAGTCGTGCTGCAGCACTGGACCTTCCATTGGTCTGACAGGTTTTGGACAAGTCACCCTTTGAAGCCAAATCAGGAATGTCCCTGAGAGAGAACTCAATCAGTCAGTGAATACTGTTTTCTTTCAGCAGTTAGTACAGCCAAGAGACCTCCACGCAGTCTCTGTCAGCTGTACATGTTTGCATTGGAAGCCACGTGGCTCTGGAGTCACACTGTGGCCAACATTGTTTCACCCAGACATATTACTGAGGACACAGAACTTCAGGTATACTACCCTGTATACTTATGATCTGAGCAAGAATAGAGGGCCAGTTTGACTTGTCCTTTCATTCTGGCTTGACATGAAATTTCCCACTTGTGGGACTAATAAAGGTATCTTATCTTATCTTATCTTATCTTATCTTATCTTATCTTATCTTATCTAACCGAGCTTCAAGTTCTTAGAAAAGCTCTTTGTGTGTTATAATGGGAAGAATAAAGGAAAAGCTCTGTTTAAACAGCAGGACTGTTGCCACAATAAAGCAGGTATATGAAGTGACAGAAAAATAAAATATGCCCTCATATTTTATTTTTCATTCTACCAGAGGTGTGGCCACATCATAGACACCGATATGTCTCTTTGGGGGAAAACTGTACTGCGACATCCTAGTTGTACCAAAATGCATCGTAATGCGTCCTCTGGGACCACGTTAGTATGATCCACTTTGTTTACTGCCACTGGCACTAGAGAAAGAATGAAGCAGAGTTAGGAACAGGTTAAGAAGGCAACTATGCTTCTGTGAATTTCCTGATGACTGCCAGTCATGGTGGTCACTTGGAGCGTTTCAATGGAAGAACTTTCTCAGAAGCCGGATGCAGTGTATTTACAGCATACATGTACTCGTAGCCTACATGCTCACAAAAACAGTAGAGTTTGTGTTCTTAAATTACTCCTAAAGGAACCAGCTTAGAATGTTTGCTGCCCTGAATCATGATAACATACACGTGACACACATTAGAGCTTTTTCTGCCAAATAGGACAAAGAAAATATAGGTCCCTAAAAAAATGCTCTGCTATAACGTTTAAGCCCAAGTTAACACTGGAGTGCTTTAGAAAGCCCTTTTTCATTTTCACTTTCTCACTTTCCACTGCAGGACTTGGACTATAAGGCCATCTCAGAAGTAATTCATAATCAGATTTGGTGAAACATACTTTTACATACACCAAAATCTGCGCCTCAAACTCATGAAATTCTATCTAACCCTGACATAGTTACAACATAACATGTCAAACTTACAATCTTTTCCCTGCATTGTTACTTACACACTTTCGAGTGGGCATTTTCTTTGTTCTATCACCATCATTATGATTTTCACTGTCATTAAGTTCCTTCCATCTTGTGTCTATAACATTTCATTTAGCACCAAAGCTTTGCACCCACTGAGCTACCTAAATAAGTTCCCAGCTTGTGTATTAACTCACTACTAGGACTTAATGTGAGCCTGAAAGAAAGTGACACTCAGTAGCGTGGGCTCCATTGTACCTCTGAAAGGCCGAAGCAGCACTCTGGGTATTGTCTTCTTTAAAGGGGAGTCTGGTTCCCTTGACTACCACAGGATGCCTACCCATAGGCCCTGGGAGAGAGAGAAAAGGCAGGGCCAGAGACGGAGGGAAAAGAGAGCGGAAAGAAGTAAAAAAGGAGGCAAGCCACGTCCCGTCCTTAACTTTATTTGCTTTTTCAAGTTTGTGTTTTCAAAGCAGGCCAGATGGCTGCCACTGGGTTGGGTTGAAGGCCTACAGAGGTGAGGATGTTTCTGAATGTGTGGTTGTCTGTGTGCTGACTGGTTTTGTGAGGCAAACTGCTGAGACATCTCTGTGTATGACTCACACTGACCTACAACAGGCTGTTTTTAGCATCTCTATCAGTCTAATGAACATAACAGAAATGCCGAAAGACCACTGGCCAAACAAGCTGGCGGTTTTTCCTGCAGGCAGCAGCATTACTCTGACATCTATTTATGCCTGTAAAATTTGTTGATGGAGTTTAGCTGGAAAGTGTGCCCATTAATTTGCAATTTTAAAAAGAAAAAGTACAATGGTTTTCTGTCACTTCAATCCAAATTAGTTAATAAGAAATGTAACCGTACCACTTTTGCAGTGTAGTGCATGTTTAATTTATTGGAATTTCTAATGTTATTACTTCGACAGTGACATCCTACTCCCTGTAAACTGAGGGCCATGCGCGTCACACTGCGGCCTCGTAGGTAAGCCCCAGTCTCGTTATAGCTCGCAGTAGAAAGCAGAAAAACAGGTCACATATTGCTTTTCTTCCTTTGGCTGCCTGAAATTGTCATTTTCATTTTGACAGCTAATTGTTTAGCTGGTTTTAGTGCATAACTGGATCTCCCCAGCATGTGATATCACCAGCAGTAGGCCAACCATTACTCAGTAACTTGTTTTAACATGATTTCTCCTGTGAGGCTTTTGAGCCGTGCAGCTCAAAGTTTGTGATGAGTGCACTGACAATTTTGATGAAATGCAACTGAGTGGAAAATAATTTGATCTGGATCTGAATCTGGAGCTTTATAGGCACTAGGAGAGCCCTCAAAGTTATTGTGTGGGCATTTGAGCCTGGCTATGCAGTATGTTTTCGGGTTAGGGTGAATACTTTTACTGGCCTGATGAAAGTGAGAGAGAGTGATGGCTCTCTAAGCCCCAATTAAATCTTCAAATACTTGTTTTTACACGCCAGAGTCCCCTCACTTGAAGTCATGGAACAATTTAGCTCTCCACATTCACTAAATGAATTTAGTGAAAGGCAAAGTCCGCCTGTGTGTGTTTTTTTAATCGCATCA